TAACGCCCGGAATCTCATTGCGGTAAAGAAATAGTGACGACGGTAAAGACTGTTGAAGGTTTTACCCCGCAATCCAACACTGATCGCTTTTAAAGTGCATAGAAAGCGGTCGCATGGATAAACTAGACGTATTAGCCTCATTTATCCAGATCTGTCATTTGAAATTCTCGTTGTCATTGTTGCTGTTTTGATTTCACTTACATAACTTTGTTCTTTTAGGTCTGTACGAATATTTTCTCACCAGATATGGAGACGAAACTACGGAAGCTTTCCAAATGGCTCGACATAACTTTGTGAAGAGCATGGCAGCATATAGCGTTTTTACTTTCTTATTGCAGATAAAAGACAGACATAACGGCAACATCATGCTCGACACCGAGGGCCACATCATACACATCGGTACGAATATATTGCTTAGAATTATCTGACATCATATTCGTTTAGATTTTGGATTTATGTTCGAAAGCAGTCCCGGCGGAAACCTTGGTTTTGAACCTGATTTCAAACTTAGCGGCGAAATGGTCGCCATAATGGGAGGAAAAATGGAAGCACCGTGGTTTAAGCTGTTTATGGACTTGTGTGTTCGCGCCTTCTTGGCACTAAGGTATATAGCATAAAACAATACATAAATAAATATACATAAATAGTTTTGTGAGAACGTGTTTCTTTATTTCTTGTGTTTCCCGCTGCATTCAGTTGTACAATACTTGCTATGGTATGAACAATTCTTTATCAAGTTTACTGGGCATGCTGTCCGGAGTAAGTCTGTTTTGTTGATTATGATGAATCTATGTATTCAGTATAAATTAAGTTCTTATATACCATTGAGATCGTACATCTGAAGAAAAGATACTGTTCTGGTATACGCGTGTTATTGGATCGCTAACATTCATTTCTTTCAGACCATATCAAGAATCGTTTTTGTCCTTGGTAACGTTGATGTTGGATTCAGGTCTTCCATGTTTCCGTGGTAAAACTGTACAGCTACTGCGCGAACGCTTTGCGCCACAGAAGTCAGAGAAGGAAGCAGCTAATTACATGCTACAAGTTGTGAAAAACTGCTTTCTCAATGTTCGGTCAAAAATGTATGATCAAATTCAGTACTTCCAAAATGAAATACCCTATTAATTCGATTCTTCCGTTGTTTCGCGTCATTTTTTATTGTCTGATACTCCGCTTAACTTCAGAAAACTTAAATGCAAAATATGCGTGCCATTTATAGCGCTGCGTTGTTCACCTGTGTTGTACCGTAAATTGTTGCTGCTCTTTTACTCAGGTGCGGTTTTCTGTTATTCTATTAGCACTACTGCTGGCAGATTTTATAATAAAATGTGAGAAAGACTCAAACTGTCTAGACAGACTATGGCTTCTTTTGATTGCTCATATCACCACTTTGCAATGTGCAGGGTAGAGTAAGCAAACAAGAAGCCAAGCTTTGTTCAGAAGAAGTCACTAGCGCGTTCTGACACAACGTCATCATCGTAATAATGGCGGATATAGCTGAAATGCAAACAACAAATGACTACTCGCAATGAAAAATATGAATTGTGAACCGAGGATGATATATGGGCTGCACGAAAGAACGATCTAAACGACACTGAGTGAATAACTTCAAGAAACTGATTAAGTATCGACTTCTCGGATAGGTTAAAAACAGCACCATGTGACAAAAAGTTTGTTAACGGCAAGGAAAGTCGATGAAAACTGCTTTACCAACAAGCGCTCTGTATTTGACTGCTATAACAAACAAATCTGTGCAGCACGTTCGAACAGTGAGTGAAATACATGAATGCATGACTTACCGTCATCGTGACGTCTCAGAAGCAACGACCAGCTTCGCTGGGCTTTATGAATGCAGATAAACGTAGGCATTATAGTTAATTTTAAATAATATTGGCATTTCTGCCATGGCCTAGAATAAAACGAAACTGCGAATAAAAACTTTTTCACGATTGAGAGAGACCGTGATCTTTGCATGTCAACATGCAATTTTGTGTTCATGACGACAAAATTCTTTCATGTGCCTGTTTAGGGACACTAGTCAATTACAAAATATAGTAATTACCAATTTCGAGCGAATTGTATTTCAGCAGAGCAGAAATGCTAACAAGCATGAAATCATAAGCAGTGGAAAACATAAGCATGGCGCGCTCACAAATAGAATGCAAGTTTACTGAATGCCTCACGCTTCTCAAGCTACGATTTCGAAAAACTTTACAAAGAAGTTTTACTTCAATTGTGGCAGCATCTCAGCTAAACTTCGCTTTCGAAAAGTCCATCTCCGGATGAGCTTCCATAAACCTGAAACGAAACATCATTGAAATGCCATGAATCAAAGTATTCTGCGGCGAAGCGATAGTACTTTTTCAAAACGTCCTTCTTCTTTTGCTCTTCGGACGTCGGAAGACCAAGTTCCTTTTGCCGTTGATCGTACATCATTTTTTCGACCATTGCCCGAGTTTCGCCTTCGAGATCAGAGAGCTTAATGAAGTTACGGATTTTTAGAAGATGCGAGGAAAATATTAACTAAGTAAGCAAAGTTCAGTATCGTATAGAAAGTAACGATAGAAAAATAAACAAGAGGCTGTCCATTCAGCTTCCTTACTTTCGTGATATGTATCGTTTGTCATGTAACTTGTAATTCAGTTCTAATTGCCATTTCAATCATAAAAATCAGATAACTTGTTCAATCATGTTAATCTTCTGAACAACTTTATTTCCTACCGATATGCACATCTCTGAAGCATCGTGGTACTGCTTGCTCTATTCCTTACATGGTGGTTCTTAGTGAAGCACAAGCGAGGCGGGAAGGTCCTTCGTCATCACACTACTCAACGACAGACTGACGATCATTTCCCGAAAGGTATTGATACCATTCAACCTAAGCCCACTGGCTAAGGCTTTGCTATCCGCATATAAGATGATTCAACTCAACGGAGTAAAGCATACTGAACTGCACAATGGAAAATAGGTTTTTTTAGCTTTTCACTTGAAATATTATCAATAATGGTTGGTGCAAAATGCCATCATGATTACAAATTCGTTATATAAAGAAATTGCAGCCAAACACACTTCCATGCAATTTTGTGCTGCGATCCACTGACTTCGCACAGAAACATTTTTATTAGATTAAAAATAGCGGTCGTCAGATTTATTCCGTCATGGAGAAAGTGTTAAAAAAAACTTTGACAAAATTTCAATATAAGGCTGAAACGAACACCTACCTTGGAATTTTCAGGTTGCACTTTCCGTGTGTTTATTTCTGGATCAGTCATCACCAACTTCGACCACCACTCCATCTTATGCACCTAAAATGATTCGATGATAAACTGACGTGTTACCAAAGTTTTATGCACCCTAAATATTCGAATGAACCTACCATGAGCACAAAATTCATCGCCACCTATTGCTGGACATAGACTTCAAAAAGTATCCTCAGCACTGGCGGTGAATTTATGCGCTGTGTGAGGTGACACATACTTAGGAGCCGCCCTATTTACCGCCTATATTTGTTACGAACGGTAAATAAAATCCGTGATGATTATTGCTGGCCGCCTTTTGTGTTGAAAGATTGAGTTTACTTGAATACACCAAAAGAAACAATACAACAAACAGCAACATCTCATTCCTGAATCATTTACGTCTTGCATTACGCATCACTTCCGCTGTGCTACGCAGATCTGCAGTATGATGTTATGTTGTTAATTTGACTAAAAATTTTTTGATGGCAAACAAGCTGCGCAGAAGCACACAAAAAGGGGAAAAAGAGTGACAGTGAAAAAGCAACAGAAAGTGTGAAATACATCCTGATGTAACCACACGCTATCTCGAGGACTTTTCTCTGCCTTTAACAGGTTGAGGAAGGGCCTTACAAGAAAGAAATGGCAAAATCAGTGTCGTTTTCAGTGATCCTTCACCTGGCAAAAGAGTGACCTAACTGGTTTTTAGTGTTTAACTGATAAGAACTTATCAGTTTCGAATAGCGTTGTTCGCTATCATTATGAAGATACGTGTACTGTATCATCATTGTCAAAACCAAAAATGAGCGCAAATCAGACCAGCAAGTAATGTATTAATGCACACTCAGACTAGCTCTGAAGGGTTTCTCTCAACGTCCTCCTGTACTGCTAAGTCAAGTGCTTTCTTATATCATTTTCTTACACTTTTGTAAAAACGATGTCCGTGTAAAAACGTACCGCTCATGACCATTTTACAGAATTCTGATCGTCCATGTAGCAAAATATCACATCTGGTCGTCGCAAAGTTACAAGGTGCAAAGCCATGTATGATTCATTACCACAAGCAATAATTTATTATCAAGTCCTCGATTTTCTATTCTGAGACACGTATAGGTTTCGTTGTATTTCTGGTAGATAATTTAATGTGATTCGCTTAATAACATGAGAATATGCTCTACGAAGACGTAAAGCTTTAAAGCGTAGATAAGGCGAAATGTGATTATTCTTATAACCTGAATCTGTGCATGATACTAAATAACACTAAACTATCTGGAGAAA